TCCACAGATGAAAGAAAAAAATTAGAATGAGATGTTTTAAGAAGAATGTAATAATATAAAATTATCCCTTTAAAATATTGTAATATAACCATGACGTCAAATTCCTTATTCATTTCTAATGGTAACTGTTTTTCAAAATATTATGTATGTATTAGGCTTTAAATGACCTGATTTGATAAGTCTGTGTTAACAATATTCCATGTGAAAAACAACAACAACAAAGTACTTAACATCAAGACCATTATACACCACTTGTGCATTTTCATAATTTTAATATAGGGTTTATGATAATTTTTGGAATTAGCAACAAAGAAAAATAAAGTTTTTACAATCTATGATATTAACAATATATTTATTTCATGTTTCTCTCACACAAAATTAGATAATTATCAATATTGCAGTGTCATTTACAATTTAACTAGCCACTGATCTAATCAAATCTGTTTTTTAGATAAACTACAGGTAAATTCACGAGATTTCGATCCCAATTCACATCAAATATAGATGTTTCTAATGATGACCACAATAGTATTAGAGCTGGGATGATATTCAAAAGTCAGTTACACTATATATATATTGGTGAAGACTGTCATTATACCTAAGGTCTAAGTGCTCTTGGCAATGTAGATCCACAAGGTCCTTCAAAATGGAATCTGAAACAAATATGATACTCTGCAATTAAAATTATGCCACTAATACAATCTTTTTATGCATTCTTTTAAAGCAGTGTCTAATTTTCTCCGGTATTAGAAATGATTTTAGTTGGAAACAAGCTCCAGAAGAATAGTATCTTTTGCTCACATGTAGTTTATCTGTATGTCTAATGAATCATATTGTTTGTACTGCTTGTAGCATTCTTGTTTACTCCATGATCTGTATGTTTCTTTTTTCTCTTCTGTCTTTATATCTACTTTAGTAATGGCAATAACATTTGATTTGAACCTATGAATCAGAAATATACACCTGGAAAAAAGTTAAACACCCCCAAATATTTTTCAGGATTGCTTATTGAAAATAAGGTTTAATTTTCATGATGTTGAGCAATGATCATAATTTCAAACATAATTAAAAGGATGTGAGCATTCAGGTGTGACATTTAAATCAGGCCCG